CATGGAACTTCTTGCCACTTCTTAAGCTTGATTGTGGACACTGCTGTACATGGCGACTCTCCTCACACTACTGTTAGGCGTTGCGAAGACTCGCCAAAGCCTTTTCACTTTTGATTATGCACACACCATCAACGAGTGACTTTGGTATTTTGTTAACTCTGGCGAGAAGAGGACTCCTTCCATGACCTGCAACTTCTTGTATCTCCAGACGAGTCGACGGTGGGAGAAGTCGAACAGGTAGCTGAAGAACAATTTTAAAACTATCTTATCAGTTGTGTATCTTCAAATTTTACGCATCTCTAATCTTGAGTTTCTGTTTCCATCACTTAAAATAGACCAAAGCACCTGCTTTATTAGTGAAATCAACTTCACTATACCTCTGTTGCATAAGAGCTACGGTTGATAGGTGCCAAGGGAAGTTGAAGCACTTGAGAGGCTGCTGAAGTTGGTATTCACGAGGTTTCTACTCATAAGAAGGTTCATGTAGGCCAATTGTTAGAGGTAGAATCTTCATAGAAAAGCAAACGAATGTGAAGATTGCCCGATGCACATCGAAGATAAGGACAGCATAAAGCGAGACCTGGATGCAGCGTTTGGGAAAGGGTAGGCGAAGTGGACAACGGCAGGTCGCAGCAGAGCACATTTGAATTGCAAGTTTCGTTCGGCATGAAATCAAGATTGGAGCTGAATCATGGAATCTGGTGCTGGGAGTGAGCGGCAAATTCCAAACCACAAATCCACAAACTGATATCTTTTCCACAATGGCGTTTGTCGGAGTAAGCCATCAGATGACATCGCTTATCACAGCATTCGTCTTCACTTCTGGTGCTAGTGATTCTCTCGCCAACCTACCTGAGGGCTGCTAGCAGCGTCTACAACTCATTTCCAGTTTCCGCCTCTCCACACCACGAGTAGTAATCCAGGAACAATACATAGGACTGGTGGATGAGAAGTGGGAGTTTGGATTAAACTGCCTCCTCTATGCCAGGTTCGCTGTCAATGTGCTCGTCAAGTACGTTTACAAGAAATAATTGTGGAGAAAAGTCGTGACGCAAATTACATGCAGTGTGAGGGGGCAAAAAGTGACTGTTAAAGCAATGGTGACTGTCGCGTCTTCCCTCAACTTTTAAGCTATTTCACTAGAACGTTGAGTTGAAGCCAATCAGGACGGAGCTTTATCAGGTAAGCAGATGGACATAATGCCAATTACCCGACTACATTTTTGAGATGCAATTATTTGCAAAGCAGTGTGAGTGTCTGTTAAAATGCGTTCAAGTA